TAATATAATAAAGTATAATATAATATTATATAATATCATATAATATAATATAATATCATATAATATAATCGAATAATATATATGGCTGTTGATCTAAATTGTTTCATCCCGGAATGTCCTTCTTCACGAATAAAAAGATTAACTTTAACAAAACCATCGCGGAACTTTCACGAAGGCTTATTCACATGCCTTTGCAAGTTAAAACCCTGAGTTATACGCTATAAGCTTCTCCATTGCAAAGCTTTTGGTGTCTCAATTGATTGAAAGTTCCTCGGAGCCTCTCCCACAGGCTTTAGGGCTACTTGAGGCTGTTAGACAGACTTTCGTACCAACCGAGGATTGAAAAGCTTTCTTCATGGGGCTATTCCAGGGGTCGTAAGGGCTTCCTAGGAGGTGCCCCTTTCGCCAGCCACTCGCGAAATGCACCAACAATGTCCATCGGGGCTGGCCTTGATCAGGCTACGTCGACTTTAACGTCACTTACGCGGAACTTACGCGGAACTTATGCCTTACGCGCTAAACCCTGTACTGGAACCGATTTTTTGGGTTTGTCGTTGATAAGATTGTAGGTAGTAGGTATGGCAGGTAGTGGTAGTAAGTGTTGACTAGCAAAAGTAGCAGTAGCAGGAGTAGCAGTAGCAGTAGCAGCAGAGGTAGCAGTAGCAGTAGCAGTAGCAGTAGCAGTAGCAGTAGCAGTAGCAGTAGCAGTAGCAGTAGTAGTAATAATAGCAATAACAACAGTAGGTATACTGATGACAAACACTTATCAGGTGGACCGTTGGATGCTGATGGCTACCATGGGGCGCTGAAGCTTTCACGAGCGCCCGACCTTTCAAGATCGCAGAGGGGTAAATGCTTCAGAGCCTCCCACGTGCCCCTGGGCTGGATACCAGGGTCAAGTTCAGGATCTAGTTAGGTTTTCGGGAACCCGCCTCTAGACCGTACCATCTTCATAGCAGGTTTCAACTCACAAAATTAAAGCCACACAATTTAAAACCTCAGAGCCCCGGGATCCTAAAACTTGCGAAGAGCCCAACAGCCTAGTTCGAGCTCGGAAGCAGCTTTCGCCCCCCATTAAAGGGGCTGAATGCTTTTCAGAAGTTTCGAAGAGGTTTGGTGTTTTGGGGTTTAGGGTGTAGGGTCCAGGGGTTGAAGGTTCGGGAACGGCTCGGGGTTTTAATGCATGGATTCCCCATGGTTTTTTGCCTGTATACCACGTCTGATGCCCTAGTTCTAAACATCCAAATTTGTGAGGATGGGTAAGATTCATTACCGCCTGAGGTTCCCCAATAGATTGTGTGTGTATATATATATATACACACATACATACATATACCTATGCCTATACCTATACCTATGCCTACACCTATACCTATACCTATACATATGCATATGCATATGCATATGCACATACTTACATAATGTAACATACAATACATACAACACATACAATACACACAGTACATACATCAATACATACATACATACATACATACATACATACATACATACACTACATACATTACATACATGACATACAATACATACAATACATACATTACATACATTACATACATTACTTACATTACCTTACATTACATTACATTACATTACACTACATTACACTACATTACACTACATTACACTACATTACACTACATTACACTACACTACACTACATTACACTACACTACACTACACTACATTACATTACATTACATTACATTACATTACATTACATTACATACATACATGTGAACGTGTGTATGTATGTATGTATGTATGTATGTATATATACATATATATATATATGTGTGTGTGTATGTATGTATATATGCACATGCAGTACTATAAACCCCGACCCCAAACCTTAGTCTCACGTTAGGCTGTTAGGTTTCTATTTTAGACATCGCAGGACCCGTAACTCAGCCCCCAAGGCCCCAAAGCAACCCCAAGTGCCTTTTAATAGGGCCCTAATGGTCCTCATTTGTGGGTATTTAGGGTATATTCGAGGGTAGTTGGGCTAGGTAGAGTTTAAGGTTTCGAATTTAGGGCAAAGCGAAAGCCCACACCTGTAGAGCTTAGAGTTGAGGGTTGAGCTCTAGGCTGACCTTCAAAGGTTTAGGGTTTTTTGGGTTTAGGCAAGGCTTAGAGTCCACTGTGCCAACCATCCCAAACTTCTGCGGCCCGATGACCAAGGTTTGTGTCCTTCCCCGACAATGGGTCGCATAAGAACGCGCCATGGTGCATCGACACGGCCCCGTCGAGATACTGCGCCGCAGCTGCGCTCTCCGTAGATCCCAAATCAAGGTCTATAGTCTATCGAATTCAGGGTAGACGCTTGAGCTTTACCTCCTCAAACCTAAAACGTCTTGCAACGCATTATGGTTGGTTGTTGCCGTAGAGTGTGGAGTTTAAGAGTTCATCACAGTATCTCCATCCCTGAATTTGGGGCCAAGTATCTACTCAGGAGAAACATACTCCTTCCAAACTACTTACCAGGATTCCTAGCCACTCGGTCCTTTTGGCCCTTATTGATGCCCTTTCCCCCAGTGGTCGGAACAAAAGAAGGGTTCTTCCCTTATTGTTCGAGTTATTGTGGCCGCTCTAGTACTTGGACCAAGCCAAGCACAAGTCTTTCCGCGTGACATTCGTAGATATTTAGCCCGAAGCTTTGGTTTAGCTGCTCGGGTTTAGGGTTAGGAGGTGTTTGGTGTTCAGGATTTAGTGGTTTGAGGTTTCGAATTTGGAACTTGAGGGTTTTCGAGCTTGACATTAGAAGCTGATTAACAAACTATACACCCTAGACCCTAAAAGCTAAACCAACCACGTTCAGGAGCAGTGAGCCTCAAATCTCCAGCTCTCGCTCTGTCTCAGGGATTCTGCGGTCGCAAGTCGGATCGCAGAATGTTTCTGCAAGCTATCGGTGAATTTCGGGTTCAGGGGTCTCAGGGCATGTACGAACGGATTCGTTTTCTCAGCCTGGCCATCGGCTGTTCGGTTTTATGGCTTTGGCTAGGGTCTTCAGGTGTGGGTAAATCCGGGTCGCACGTAGCCAGGCTTGAGTTGAACAACACACATTCAACTACTTGTAGGGTAACTAGGGGGTGCGGGTTTGAAGAGGTAAGCCGATGTGGGGAACTGTTGTTGACAAGGTCGGGAGGCTTCTGTATGGGGATTCCTCTGTTTGTATGGTCTAAGGTTTCTGGGGCCCCTTGCTCCTCTGCAGCAACATCGAAGCCTCCCGTTCTTGTGCCAACAAACTATATAACCAAAACAGCCTTCAGCCAACGGCCCGAACCCCCCCGCCTTCAGGAGCCCGCTTGCCTATAATATACGGGCCTTAATAATTAGAATAGGGCTTGGGGGTATATTCTACTATAAAAATACAGTTTAGAGCCCCCCAAAATAATATTGGTAATCAGTTAGGCCCTAATGGTATGTAGTGGGCTACTGTTTGATGCCCTATCTAGTGCCTGTAATCCAGTAACCCTCCACATCGGGCCTTAAGCGGCTTTGCACCCTAAGCCTCAAAACCCTTAACACACCCAAAACCGCAAAGCTCGAAAAAGCAGAGAAAGGTACTGATTTCTTCGAAGTAGCGTGCAACCCGCACCGAGTACGCTATTTGAGCTGCTGGGGCAACTTGTCAGCATAGGTGGGTGCAGGTCGTTAGGCCTTTTGGGGTTCAGGGTTTAATGTAAGAACCCGATTAAGAAACCCTGGCCCTAAACCCCCAATATAGTAGGGCTCATAGTAAGAACCCGGAATAAAGACCCAAGGTTTCTTAATCAGGTTCCTGCATTCGGGATTTAGGGGCGGCTTCGGCGCTTGAAGTTCGTTTTTGGGGATTCGGGATTGGGGAGTTGTGCAATGCCCTAAACCCTGATTCTCCGCCCTACACCTAGTCAGCCCGGTATATTAACTGCGGCTGCTACTACCACTACTACGGTTGATAATGTAAATCCTGCATTACCCATAATAAGGAACACATACCTTAATTCCCATAGGTTAGGGTTCTTAAGGTAGCACAGGATTTTCCATCATCAACAGCAACCGCGACTACTACTGCAGATAGCCTTGGCCCTGTGGACTACTTCTGCGACTACTACTACTACTACTACTACTACACACTAAACCCTAAAGCCTAAAGTCTCAACCCCTAAACCCTAAACCCAAAATCCAAAACCCTAAACCCTAAAGCCTAAACCCCTAAACCCAAAGCCCTGAACACTAAACCCTAAATCCTAAAGCCTAAACCCAAAACCCTAAAGCCTAAAGCCTTGGCCCTGTGGACCGGGATCCCTGTGAAGGTTTTTAGGGGTTTAGGGTTAGGCTGGGACTTAGGGTTTAGGCCCTTTTGGGATGTTTAGGGTTTGGGGAAGTTTAGGGTGGATGTTGAGGGTTTTGGGGCATCATGCGGCATCATAATTTCATCATCTTTAAAGCTTTGAAGGGCCCAGGGCTTCAGCGGCTGAGACATGTTTATAGGGTGTGGGGCTTAGTTTCTATAAAAATAGGGATCCAAGCGCACGGTGCTCCCAATCAGAGTTCATTGTTTTTTTTTGCTGCGGCTCCATATCAGGATCTCTTTTTCTGGTCCCTTGTAGGCTACAAGTCTACATTTCTGTAACGACGATTAACACTGATCATTTTTAATGAAGGGGCAGGCAACCAGTTTTGCTGCTCCATATCAGGATCTCCGCTGTTTAAACTCATGAGGGTGGTGGTCCTTTCTGGGTCCCCAAATTATAGGGTGTCGTATTCAGATTAGAATTGTTTAGATTCCGCGAGAAACGACAACAGCTTTTACAACTACTGAACCTCACGAGTTAAAAGGCTACATCCCCGACGCAGTTAAAGCTTGGGAAGCGTTTCATGGCCCTAAACCCTAAACCCTAAACCTTAAACCCTCGAGATGGAAGAAGCACCGCAGGTCACGACCAATCGAAGTCTGGGCACGAAATCCCGTCGACCTCCGCCAGAAGGCTCCTTTGCTGAAGCCCCGACGCTTAGGCCAAAGGTCGTATGCTCACAAAAGGTAGTTCTCTAAAATAATTAGGGTTCTATAAGTAACCAAAAAGGCCACAAGTATCTAATCGGCGGGTCCTTTGTGACCCCTATATAACCCTGAACCCCTCTAAGTCGCAAACGCTTGAATCAGCACGTTCCAGGCTTCTCACGGTAGTCCCTTTCATTCACGAATACGGTCGCAGCCACTGTTATGGTGCCGAAGATACAGCCCAGCATCTGAGGTACCTTCTACGTTCTTTCTTGCTTTGTCCGAAATTTGAGACACCTGAACCCTGAAACCTGAAACCGTCTTTGGGCATTTCCGCCTCTGAGGCTATGGAAAATAAGGCCGCGCGACATCTCCTTCAGCCAGGTCAGCGACTGCGTTTTAAGGGATCATAAGGGTACTTTCGTAGGGTAGTAGGCGCCATAAGTTGTTCTGTAGGGTTCAGAAGTTGGTTTTGACGGGGTGTTTATGTATAGGGTTTCATAGTGTGATTAAAGACTCCGAAGGTTCAATATCTTTGCGGGAGACACTTTTTTCACAAACCATAGTGGAGGTTCCTACGGTAGAAGCCCTACTTTCACATTGGCGCTTACACCCTGAACCTGAAGCCCTGTATATAGATACGGTTGATGAAATACATCCTGCAATACCCAGAATAAGGAATATACCATCATTCCCATAGTTCAGGGCCCTTGAGGTAATGCAGATTTTTCTATCATCAACAGTGTGTAGGACCCCTGAGGAGAGTCCAGAGCCCGAGAGTGCAGGGGTTGGAATTTCGGGAGGGCCAGAAGCTTCTGGGTTTAGGGTTTACTAGCCCATGACCCCACCCATAGGCCCCTAAGTAGTTCCTTTTTGTGGTTCATATTTAGAATCCTATAAGGTAATCCCAAAAAAGGAACTACGTAGGGGCACATGACCCTAGACCCTAAACCATAAACCATGTGGTTTGAATCCGGACCACGAGCCCAGTATGTAGGGAGCCGCTCGCGCAAACTGGCAGTTACTCAGGGTGTCTTACCTGAACAGTACATCTACTACACATCTCTTCTTAAAGTTTTATAGTGTTTATGTGCAGGTTGGACTATACTATGCACCAACTCCTGATTCTAATTCAGGCCTTTCGATTTACCCATTAGCTTGACTTTCTCAAGGGTTTCAGTTGATCACAGTGGTGAGAGATTGAGGAGATGGGGGTTGACATGATTCCTGACGTATGATACGTTCTTCCAAAATCTTACATCCTGAGCCCCCAAGCCTTCAACCCTAAAATCTCAAAGCCGAAAGCCGTAAAGCCTGAAAGCCTGTACAGTAAACCCTTTGTGCGGTTTTCGCTTGCAGTGTCTACGTGCGAGAACTCTTTGGAAACGTTCCGTGCTGGTATCCTGCTGCTGCTGCTGTTGCTGCTGCTGCTGCTGCCGCTGCTGCTGCTGCTGCTGCTGCTGCTGCTGCCACAGGCACCAAAGCCGATAGGATGCGCATAACAACTGAGACTCAAACCTGCATAAAGGCCTTGCAGGACTGCTAGTCTTTAAGCAGTTCTGCAGGACTCCATTGGAAAGGCATTCAAAGATGGCAACACTCTGGACGGCACAATGGCCAAAATCAGGCCTGGCGACGATGGTCTAGGGTTGTTGGGCATTATAAGATTTAGAGTAATCGTCTGCAAGTCAACAAGTCGTTCTTCCCAGCTTGCTGCTCTTGTGCTAGTGCTGCTTCCGCAGCCCATGAGGGACTTGGTGCCCTACTCTAATCATTAAGGCCCGGCTATTGTTGTCGCGGTATGTGCAGAAGAGTGACCACCTCTGAGGATGGTGATGCAGCGTGGATACATGCCTGCTCCTGAACCCTAACGGCTTAGGGTTTAGGGTTTAGGGTTAAAAGTCCTAAACCTAAACCCCCTAAACGGCCCTAAAACCTAAACCCCGAAGCCGCAAGTTTTCAACAATCCTCAGGCCTCTAAATCCCAAACCCCCAAAACCCGGCTTCAGAGCAAGCCTCCGGTGCTTCAGAGCAAGCCTCCACCAACCTTCGCACAGCCGTCCGGTCCCGATTGTTTCAAGAGGGTCCTTATGTGAGGTATCCATTATCTTTATAGGGGGACTCCGCATGGACACACCCGGCCTGGCAGATGCCATGTGTTTGCGCTCAAAGACGATCAAGCCTTAACGCTCCAAGCCCTAAGCCCTAACCCACGGCCTGCCAAAGCCCTCCAACCCTGTAATTTCGGACAGCGCCACGCCCCACCACAGGTCTGGGGAATGCAAGATTGAAGACATCGAGAAGATCCAGCACCTCAGCTTGCAGTTTGCCCGGAGCTAGAAATCCGCATTGCGAGCCCCTCAACTTTTACTTCGTGTGAAGCACTATAAGTCTTATATAAGCCTTACAAAATCCCAGCAAACCTCAAACACCAGAAGGCTTCAAAAGGTAATATGTGTACGGCCTAAGCCCTCGGCCCAAGGATCACGTGGCATTCCCATGAGCAAACGTCCCCGGGCAAGCCACGCTGGTGGACCTTCACCGGCAATCGGAGGCCGGCAGTTGTGGGCAAACCCTAAACCCCTAAACCTTAAACCCTAAAAGCTCTAAGCCCCAAACCCTGAACCCTAAGAGCGTTTGCAACCTGCGGCCTTAAACCAACAAAGCCTCCGGGAGCTCGAAGCCCGAAAGGTTACGGCCCCCCGCCCTAAGCATACTTTGTGGACCCAACGATCCATTACGAATCGACCTATGTAAAAAACATATATTAATATAAATATATATATATATATATACAGACAGTATCTACAGGTATGTATATATATATATGTATATATATATAGAGTTATATATATATGTGTGTATATATAGAAATATATTATTCGTATATATATGCAATGTATGTATGTCTGTATGTATGTATGTATGTATGTATGTATGTATGTATGTATGCATGTATGTATCTATGTATTTATGTATATGTGTGTGTATATATAAGTGTATGTATGTGCGTATGTATGTATGTATGTATGTATGTATGTATGTATGTATGTATGTAATCATGCATGCATGCATGCATGCATGCATGTGTATGTATGTGTATGTATGTGTCTGCATGTGTATGTATGTGTGTTTGTGTATGTGTATGTATATGTATGTATGTGTATGTATGTGTATGTGTGTGTATGTATGTGTATGTATGTGTATGTATGTTTATGTATGTGTATGTATGTGTATGTATGTGTATGTATGTGTGTATGTATGCATGTATGTATGTATGTATGTATGTATGTATGTATGTATGTATGTATGTGTGTATGTGTGTGTATGTGTGTATGTATGTGAATGCACATAAACTATATATAGAGAGAGATACATATATAGACCGTTATTATATGCATATACAGAGCTACGGCAAATGGTGCAAACCCAGCGAAGACCTCGAAAGTAGCAACAACATGCCATTTCTTTTGGTTCCTCGTTTTCCATTTGCGTCAAAGTGCCTGGAGCGGAATCTTAATGTCAAGCGGCCCATGTGCTTGTCGAGGCTTTCTTTATACCGAAAGCTTAAGGAGGAAGGCGCGGAAAGCAGCTCAGGAAGTGAGGGCTTCGGGTACTTGTAGTTTGAGCTTTGTGACCTTGTTTTGGGGGCTCGTAGCAGAGGGTTTTTTCGTGAAAACCATAATCAACTGCGCCCACCTCAGTGTGGAGTGCACGACTGGCCGGCGAAGATGAACTGAAGGAATGTGTTAATCTTAGTAGCCGAGTGGGTGCACTATCCCCTTTGGGGGATAATATGACCTGGTATACCACTGGAAGTTTACACGTCTGCATGGGCTTATGAACTCAGCAACCAAGTAGTGGTCTCATAACATAATAGTCTGCAAACATGACAGCAATTTCTTGCACAAGTGCCCGGCTCCATCCTTATCGTGAGCCCTGAAACACTGGAATTGCGGATCCTGTTGTGTCTTGCAGGTGCCTTGGAGTTCATCGTGGCCGAATGGGTCAACACTGCCGTGCCTGACTGGCGCATGACCACCCGCAATGCCGACGAACGCCCATTGGTGCGGCAGAAGTCGCGGCGCTGAGGATTTTCTGGTTTTCCGCCCCTGCATCATACAGCCTACATTCTAGACCTCTGTGACTGGAAGGTCAAACTCTGTCACCGAGGATCCGATCCAGCGGACCGGTAGTTTTTCGGCACAGAATGATGGAACGGATCAATCCCGAAGCTCCCACATTATTCCATGTGAGGATACCTGTTATCATCACGTTCCCGCATTCCCGACGAAGTAGCTGATAGAAGAGGGCTAGCAGACCCAACAGTGGGAGCCGGCCCTAGTTTCTGTTGCTGCAGCTTGGCGCAACAGCTTTCTAAGCATCATCATCAACCTCAATGAGAGCCGATTTTTGGGTTCTTGGTTTGGTGAGGTAGACGTCACGGCGCAGGTCCGCTTATGCTTTTGGCAGGGTGTTGCCCCGCAACAGGCACATCTTCTATAGGCCCTATAGGCCCCGGCACCCAAGAAAGCCTCAGACCAAAGGTTCAAGATGGCCCTGAATCCCTAAACCCTAAAAGGCCCTAAAACCTAAACCCTGAACCCTGAGCCCTAAACTCTAAACCCTAAAACCCGAAACCCAAAACCCAAAAGTTGACCCCCCTTTTGAAGCCTTTGAAAAGGAAGCTCAAGAGGCTGAGTTCCAGCCAGCCCTGGCTTTGAGAAGGGTTGATCCCGCCAAACACCACGTCTTGAGCACTGAATCGTAAGGACGACAAGAAGCCTAACAGGGTGAGGGTTTAGGGTTTAGGGTTTCGGGATCATATACCATATAACCTTACCCATAGGCTCCTTAGAAGTTCCTTTTTGGGATTACCTTATAGGATTCTAAATAAAAACCACAAGACGGAACTACTTCGGAGCCTATGGGTAAGGACGACAAGAAGCCTAAAGGGTTATGGCTTCATATACCATATAGGGATTCATTGTGTTTGGGTATAGGGCCCCTGCTTTTAGGGGTTACTTGGTGCTTAAGGAACCCCCCCGATCTCTAGAACCCGCCCTGACATCGAGAATTCCTATCTGTTAGTATGGAGATGAGGCCATTTGGAGGCAGAGCAACCTTGAAGCATAATATATATGGGCCGAAATAATTACCTATATAATAAATATAGCATTTATACCTCCCCCCCAAAAAAAACCTACTTAAATTATTAAGGCCCCTATGCTTATGTTATCTGAGACCCAGTGAGCAAATACCGAAGCTTCTGGCCAGATATCAATCCAAAGCCATACGACAAAGGCTCTCATTGGATTGAAGGCTTGCAGGAGTGGCCTCCTTGCATCAACAGTTTACATGAGACCCGCGATTGGGGCAGGAGAGCCCTGACGTACTTAAGCTTCACGGCTTCATCTTTGGCCTCAAAGTAGTCCCTATACAGGTACTTTAGGGCAACAGTATGTGGGAATTAGCTCCTCTAAATTAGGATCCCGTTTATAGGTCCGCAACATGACCCTAAACATGAAACCTACCCATATCAGGGTCCCTGTTGGCTGCAATTTGACAGTTTTGTTACAGTATAAAAACATTAAGGATTCAACATGGGCTGAAGCCCAAACCCCACCAGGACCCTCCTTGTATTCTCAAATAGGGGTTTCTATGGTCCCGAATAGTGGGTATTGTGGGGGGTAGAAGGAGGGCCTAGGTAACTTAAGCCCCTGAGATGCCTAACATGATATGGCTCCTAAGCCCTAAACCCTAAACCCCAAGACCCGGGATTGCAAACACTACAGTCCCCAAGCCCAACGCTATGGTTTTTATACATCATTAATCCAAAGCGATGAGCAGCCAATGCGTAAGTCGTCTGGGACTCTGATTTCAGACTCGATCGGCAAAGCTGGGGGTGAAAGGAGCGCTTTTGGCCCTTTCCTGTTGGATCGCGTGCGAACCGGGTTTCGGGGTTTAGGCTGTTTAAGGTTTAGAGAGTTCAGAAACCCAGGGTTTAGGGGCTTTTGGAATATGAGTGACTGCGAGTGTGATATGGTTGATGATAGACATCCTGCATTACATACCATAATTCACATAGTTTGGGGTCCTTAAGGAAATGCAGGACTTATATCATGAAGAGTATGGTTTAAGAGAGGTGAGAGGTTTCCTGCTCGGGCGGTTCCGTTATTTGATCTCGATGCTTGCTCTCAAGGCTAGTTGGTGCGCACGGCCAGCACGATAAGCCATGCACAGGCAGGAACGACAATCGCCTTGTCAAGACCATAATGTGCCTTCCAAACCTTGGTTAATTATTAACTTGTTAACTAAATTAAGGCCCTTGCGTTACGACTGGTCTGTGGAACTTCCAATGGTCCCTTTGTCAAAAGAGGCACCTGCAGAACTTCGCATCGAACGCACTGGGCTCATCACACTTTGAAGAAAAACGGCCTCTCCAGTCCCTGCCCCCCGAAGCTGGCCCTAAACCCTCAACCCTATACCTCTCAACCTTGAGCCCTAAGCGCTATATTAAGCCCTAATAACCCGAAGCCCTAAACCCTGTAAGCCCTAATAACCCAAAACCCTAATAACCCTAAACCCCGAAATGCCCCAAAGTCAAGTGACGGACTTTCCGGAAAGCCCTAGGCTGGATCCCTCGCGCCGAGCTTCGGGCGGAAGTCCAGCTGTGCAGTCGACGTCCGGAGAGCCATGACCTCAAGGCGGGGGCCTTAACAATTAGAACAGGGTTTCGGGCTATATTTTACTTTTGAGGTAAATGGGCCATTTTAAAATGGATATAGGTACCATGAAGGGATACTACTACGTACTATTGATTCCACTTTCTTTGGTGATTTCCAGGAGCCGTAACCCTAAACCCTAAATAGCTCGCAGCTGAGAGCGATGATTGCGAACCCGAAGAGGCCGAAGAGCCCCAAATTGTCTGGGGTTTTCGGGTTTTGGGGTTGTGGGTGTAGGGTTTGGGGTTTAAAGGTTACGGTTTTGTGTTTAGGGTTTTGGGTTCCTGGTTTTGGGCTTCGGGTGTTCGGGAAAATAGTGCCTGGCAGAATCCAACCCCTAATCCCTAAACCCTAAACCCCTAAACCCTAACCCCTAAACCCCTAAACCCTAAACCCCTAAACCCTAAACCCTAAACCTTAAACAGTCTAACTCCCCAAGCTTGGCGAGGCATCAGCTCAGCAGCGGTCTTTGGGTAGCGGCTCTCCCCCTCGAGGCTCGTCCGTATTTAGGGTTTAGGGTTTGGGGTTTAGGGTGTAGGGGTTAGGGTTTAGGGTTTAGGGATGCCATCTTTCTCGGAAAATTGTAATCTGTTTAGCACGTTTCCACACGCAAGGCCTTCTCACCCACAGCAGGGGAAAGCAAAGGGTTCCAGGAGATCGTCTTCAAACTGGACAGCACCATCCAAAAGAATCTCATCCAGCTCTGTGCTGAAAGCATCTCCTCTACAGGCTCTACCATGACCTTATGTACACCTAGGACAGCTTCTACCCCGGCACAAATGGCTAGACCCGCAAATGCTAAACCCTACAGAAGTTTGACCCAACACTTGCTTGACTTGAATCCAAAACGTCAACTGATAGCAGGACCGAGGTTGCGGCTAATACAGGAGTCTGAATATCTAGTGATTGGCAAGAGTGCACCGTCATAGCTCCGATATAGCTATTGTACTACACCCCAAACCTTGGTCGAATTGCTACGGCCGCAATGATACCAGAATCTGGATGCGCCGGCGTTTGAAGCTGCAGAGGGCGTGATAAGAGCGTCTGCGAGGTGTCTAAGGCGTACAGCGAGGTTAGGTTTGGGCGCGAGCGACAGCTCCAGCCACCCTAAACCCTGGACCCTAAACCCTCGTCTTGCAACAACACTGAACGCCAAAAGCCCCAAATTGAGTTCTTCAACTCCCGGACCTCTCGGAGCATCTGCATCATCTTGTTTGCTGTCTTGTTGCCGTGGGCTGTTGAGGGTGTGGGGTTCTTGGGTGGTTATACTGTAGGGGCTTTGGTGTTTGAAGGGGTTTGGGTGTTTATAGGTTAGGGTTTTAGGGGTTTAGGATTCTTTCATGAGAACGAAGAGAGAAGGTGGCCTTTGCCTTCGGCACTTGATCTGTGCGGCGTGGCACCCCAGGCGCGAAGCACTTTGTGACGGGTTTGGGCACCCTCGTGCTGCATGTGATGTAGAGGCCTGAACTATTCGTACTGTCATTCCCGAGGATTCCTTTTTAGACCTACCTATACTAACTTATGCTATGCTATGCTATAATAATGCTATGATACTATACTACTATACTACTATAATGCGTTAATATTAAAGTATTACTATAGTATTGTAATACAAAAAATTTTACTACTAGAATACTGTGGTATTATATTATGATACTCTCTTACTCTTATACTATGATACTAGCATACGGTTAATTAGTATACCATGATTCCATTCTGCTATTATACTACTATACTATACTAGTCTATTCTATGCTATACTATACTTTTTACTGTGCCCAAAACCCTAGTCAAACCATCAAAGCCTCTGTATATTGCGACAAGCACCTGCGGATCATTTGATTCCTGTCTCCTGGTTCAAGTGCTGACAGAAAGCTAGTACTTATCGCGCACGCTTCGTGCCCCTCTTTCTCGACGTTTTTCCTCAACAAATGAAGCAAGCCATGTGGTTTTGGCAGATCTTCTTTATCTCGCCTCTGATGGCGATGAAGACCAACAGGTCCAACCCGTCTGACATCTCTGACATCATGGTGAAGAGCACTTTCGAGGACCTCAAGGATTTGGCCGACATGCCGAACCTTGGCGTCAACAGCAACGATGCCATAGCTATGCACAGCATCGGGCGACTGGCCGCGAACATGGAGTTCTTGATGAATAAGGTTGCCAAGCTTGACGCCTGGAAGCAGACTCCAGGGTTGCCGGGTTTGGGGTCCAAGGATGGGGTCTGGGCGGTTCAGGGCTTCGGGTGCCGGGTTCATAAGTGCCCTCAAGGAAACCGAGCTGAAGAAAGTCTCAGGCTGCTGCGCTCAAGCGAGTGCGGGCCAAGGCAACAAAGCCTCGTTTCTGCAGACGAAGAGGGGGCAGAAGAAGCAAAAAGGCTCTCAGGAGGCAATCCCCTTTGTAAAAGATATGGTATCCCATATGGCGCCTCGAAGAAGAAGAAGCGTCCCAACCACCCGCACCCCCGCCGGCCCCGCTCCGCCTCCCACTCCTCCTTCCGAGCAACCCACCCACATTCAACATGGCGCAAGTAGTGGTGGTACTCCAGTCGATCAAGTGGTCGATCACGCGACCAGTGCTATCGGCGGTGGCGGTGGTGGTGGTGGTGGCTTCCCCTGGCCAGATCAAATGACTGGACCCATGAAGGCTCTCTTGAAGCTTGCAGGCGATCTCGCAAACTGCCCGAACTACCCAGAATTCGGCAAGCGACATGGTGATATGCCTGGGCAATCTAATCATCAAGCGCGTGCCGCCCTTCAACCAGTTGGAAAAACTGGGCGAAGTTCTGAGCAACTTTCTGGGAGGTTTCGCCAAGGTGGCGGGCACAGTCGCAGGGAAGGTCTTGAAGGGAGGCTCTTCCTTGATCCAAGAGGCCGCCCTCTCGAAGTTCCCGGCTGTGGGGGCTTCGCCGGCTGTGCACCATTCAGGGCACAGCCTCGTGATCAAAACCCACAGCCGAAACTTGGTAGCAGAGGAAAGCACTCCTGAACTGTTTTTGGGGGCATCATCATCCCCGTCGGCAGTAGAATCCCACAGTTCAGCCTGTAGTTCGCCTAGGAAGCTTGACAAGCAAGGAAAGAACCAGATGAAGGCTAAGATGTCGACCCTCCAGATGAGGGGCGATGATGATCCTCCCAACGACGGTATCAGCTTCAATCTCCACGACGAAGGGAGCAACTACCAATCCAAGCTGATCACACAGCCCCTCGTACTGCACTTCATAGACCAGCACATACACAGCAAGAGACCGAACAGACAAACCCAGAAGCATTCAAACCCTGAAACCTACGCTGAACCCTAAACTCAAAGCCCTAAACCGTGAACCTTCAACCCCCAAAGTTAGGTTCCAGGGCTACGAGAAGGACACGAGCTCCTGTCTGGCCTTCGCCCCGAAGAGCAAGCACGGGGCCAACGGCCAGGCTACGGAAGCAGACTGGCAGGCAGGTTATAGAGAGTACAGAGTGTAGAGTATAGAGCACAGGGTATAGAGTGTAGATATAGGGTATAAAGTATATATATATAGTTTACCTTATACAGCATATGGCGTCTAGTATACAGTATACAGACGTATATTACTTTGGCTAGAGTATACATTATAAACATACTATATCTTATGCAGTGATTAGCATACAGTATAGAATGTATGGCACATAGTATACAGGATATAGTCTACTGGATACAGTATATAGTAGAGTATACGGTACAGAGTATGTAGTATAGTCTATGTCGTATATAGCATGCTACCTTGAACATATACGTAGCATACAGGACAGAGGACATCCTGTATAATCTACAATCCATAGTGCATAATGTGAAGACAGGGTATCGCATGTAGTAGATGGCATACAGTGTATGGTATGTTGTATATTGTTCGCTGTCTTTACAATCTGTAGCATAAAGCATGTAGGATGTAGGATACAGGATCTAGCATCCAGGATCGAGAATCTAGGATGTGGGCAATATTTAATGCAGCGTATGGTAGAACATATATAGCATGCAGCATATATAGCTTGTAGCATGCCTCGGCGTGCTGGATGGAGGGACCCCGGCCTTCCGTGACCTGCCCGAATGAAGTTCAATCGGGCAGGCATCCAACATCCAAGACGGTCCAACAAACTTTCCGGGGGCATGTTGGATCTTGGATTCCGGACCCTGGCCGATTGAACCTCAATCGGCCGGTTCAAGTTCAATCTGGCAGGGCCGTGGGAGCCGTGAACTAAAGCAGGATCCTCCCGAGAAGCACGTGGGCACCATAAAAGCAGGCTCACAGCGTCCTCTTCTCCTCATAGTACTCGTAATGCCAGTAATAGCAATAGTAGTGATACTGCCAATGGCAGTAGGAATAGGAATAGTGCTAGGAATGGTGATGGTGATAGTCAGTGATAGTGATATCGACGGCAATGGCAGTGGTAATGGCAATGGCAATGGTAATGGTAATGGTACAGGATACCTCGCTGGGATTATAGTTTCGTCGCACTTTCAGATGGGATTGGGATGGATCGTGCGGAGCATGTGCAGTATCCAGAAGTGGATTTGATTGGCGTGGCTAGCGGAACAACTAATCCACGGCAACCAAATTACACTACTTTACTGTTCCGCACAGAGGGCTTCGGTGGATAAATTTTTCGAGGGAAAGGGTTTTTGGACGGTGTTTGAGACCAAAATGCGACAGTACGGCGAACTTTCGTCCTTAGAGTCACCGAGAAGTTAGTAGTTAAAACAGGTATTATGTTAAAAGTATGTTTCTAGCTGTGATCATGGTTCTGGCTGTAACTGTAAGTAGAATCTCGGAACAGTAGGGCAGGTTTCTCAAGTTGCACGATCCTGCCGGATGCTGGGACTCATGTTCGTGATAGCCAGGTACAGAACGAGGATACATTCGTGGCGCTGGAGCCTTGGGCTGTCCCATACGGAAACGATTGGATGAAAAGGAACTGGGACAAATGGCAAGGCAAGGAGTTGTTCGCGCATGTCGTGCGGAGTAGTCGTACTCATGGTGCTAGTAGGGCAGCAGCAGGTAGACTACTTTGTTTCACATTTGCACGTGCTTTGCTACAATATGGGCCAGACTCGGGTAGACACTCGCAGTCCCAAGTGGGAGGCTACTCTTTCTACGTGGGCGAGTCGGCCATCGAAAAGTGCATGACGGTCACGTACGGCATCAATGTCCAGCCGGTGGTGGCCTTTGTGGGAGGTTTGCAGGTCGATGTAATGCCTGAGCCACTGGCATCAGTGGACACGACGGTGTGCTGGCCCGACGGCAGGCCTGACGGTCAGGACCTGAGCTTGCTGCGTACCGAGATCAAGTCCAGTGGCGTTCTACTCTTCGGCCGGTCTCTCCGCCTAAGCAAGCGCTTCGGCAGTCCCACGCATATGGTGGGGGAGTACACGCACGCCAGCACCGGAACCTGGCAAGGCTCCACCAACCCGCAGCAAGAAATCTCCAGGACGAAGCTCCTCCAGACCAGCCAAAACGAGACGCGCCAGACAGCGTCCGGTGAAGAAGCAGCGCAGGAGGACCAGGGTGTGCTGGAATGGATGGAGGAGGAGGACTTCTACTTGGCCTCCGCAAACTACTCCGACTTGGGGATGAACTTGACCTCAGATTCTGGGTTGACATTTGAAAGGGTTGTGCCCCCCCGTCATGAGCTTGAATCATTGCAACATATGATACGATACTTCTAGCAATCTAGCAAGCCTCAACCCTAAACCCAGTAAAATCTACGCCCGAAGCAATTACGATATCCCGAAACTCTACCGGTACTTGATCCTTTGGGTATCTCTGGGTGAAGGAACTTCGCGGTGCAGCAGCTGCACGGCACCTGAGCCTTGCTTCCACCAGGGCGCAAGGAGAACCTCGGAAGCACATTCTTTATTAGGGTTCTGGGTTTCGGGTTTGGGGTTTGGGGTTTAAGGGATCTCTCCCCTAAACACTAAACACTAAACACTAAACCCTAAACCCCTAATCTCGTTGAGGGCTTCGAGCTGTTCAACTTCGCGTTCGACGCAAGCGGGATGGTGAACTTCCGGCTCAGAGCCCTCCTCGCCGGGACCAGCCTGGAGATGCGTACCGAGTTTGGCTTCACCTCACTCTTGAACTTGAATTCCGGGGAGCAGACGCTCCTTGGGGCTTATAGCAAGGTTATGGATGCATCTACACAGACTCAGACCATGTATGTAAATACGTATGATTACATATGTAGTTTATACATCTGTACACCTTATGTATGGATGATATATGTCTGTATCTGTGTTTGCATGTACAAAGATGTATAGATTTATCGATGTATCGATGTCTGCAAGTACACAGGTATGTAGGTATATAGGTATATAGGTATATATGTCTTATGTGTGTAATTACATATGGCTATATATATATATGCACGCTATGTACGTGCATACTTATAATATATACGCATATATATATGTATGTATGTATGTATGTATGTATGTATGTATGTATGAATGCATGTATGTATAATGTATGTGTATGTATGTGTATGTGTATGTGTCTGTGTATGTGTATGTGTCTGTATATGTGTGTGTATATGTATATGTATATGTGTATGTGTATGTAAATGTATATGTATACGTATATGTATATGTATATGTATATGTATATGTATATGTATATGTATATGTATATGTACGTTCATATGTATGTCCAGGTCTAGGTCTGGGTCTCGGTTTGGGCTAGGTCCAGATCTCAGTTCTAGGCCTAGGTATAGGCATAAGTATAGGTATAGGTTTAGGTATGGGTATATGCCTGTTACATGCATGCACATACACATCGGTATATGCACAACATTACATATACATCTGAATCCGTTTCGTACATATGTGTGTTTGTGTGTACATAGACCTACACACGAGAGATGGGTTCACTTGATGTGTGTCCTTCCAAATGCAGACGAATACCCAAAACAGCTGAGTTTGTTGAAATCATGTCAAGTATTCGAATAATAAAAGACCTCGCATATGTGAACTAAGTGGGATGACAAAAGCCAACCGCACTCGAGTTGTTTCAACTACTTCAATTATGTTTTACTTGTTTGGGAGCCACAATTTTTGAACTAGTTGAGACATTCGAACTCCCGGCCCTTATCCCTTTGCGGTCCCTTCCCCGAGGCCGCAACTTCTGAAGTACCAAGTACTGGAACTATTTGGAGCAATTATGCAGAACTTAAGTTGATTCAGGTAGTGAAACAGGTGAGGAACCCACCTCTAAGAATGGCGAGGTGGCCGATTTCAATTATTTCATGTATTTGGGGCCCACACGTCTACTTGTTGACATAATGAAAATGCCGGCCCGTATCCCTTTGGCCCTGCTAACCCCCCCGCCCCCCCCCGCAGGATTGCAATTGTTTCAATTGTGTGGATCACACATTTCAATCGATGGAGAAGAGGGCCAAGGGGGTCGATTTTCAATTATTTGCGGCCCGCAGGTGTTGGACTGATTGAATTCCCGGCCCTTCGCCCTTTGGGCCCACAATTTCAAAAACTGGAAGCTATGGAAGTACTTGAAATCGACCCAATTTCAATATCTATTTGGGGTCCACAGTTTTGGAAATAATTGAACTAGTGAAATACGCACCACCCCAATGGATGGAGAAGGGGGCATTTTTTTTCAATTATTTGGGGTCCGCAAGTTTTCAACTAAAATGGATGAGCGTGACACTGCTGCGATTGACGACCCCAAGGGCATCAACACAGTAAGAGATGAGGGTTTCATGAGGGCTAAACAGCTAAAGAACTTTCAAAGAGCAAGTGCACCCCCACAGACTGCAAACATGCAAAGCCTTTTCTAAACAGCATTATGCAGAAAAGTACTAAGATCCCATACAGTGACAGCATCTGCACCACCAACATTCACATCCAGTCATAGCAAGCACACTATTAATCACCACAATCATGCTTATGTATTACACCATTCTTGTATATTACATCCGGCCTAACATCATGTGCATATGATGAAGATTGAAACTGGCCTAAAGAGGTATGAGCAATGTCAGTTGATGTACTTCCTACTTTCCTGTATATCGTTGAAGATTCGAAACTTGTCCGCTCATGGGTCCTATCACGCGATACAGTTTAGCATTGTAAACTTGAAAGCATGTAGCATACGGTATATACATAACGAATCATAACGACATGGATACACATTTTTATATGTGTGCACATCCATCCATCCATCCACCTATCCATCCATGCATGCATGAATGCATGCATGTATGCATATTCGGCCCCTTCCGCTGTTTTGGTTGCCTAGGTTGAAGCTGGTGGACATTGCAGAGCAATTTGCCGTGGTGCTGCACGCCCTCCCGTTTGTGGCCCCACTAAGCAGAGACAGGGCCCTCAATGCCCTGAAGGACTTTGCCACCAAAGACGTGCCAGCGCCCCCGCCGCCTGTTGCGCTGAGGCCTGGCTCGACCGTCTACATCTACAACCGCCACTTCCAGCAGTGCCTTGCAAACCAAATGGTCACTACAATAGGTAATGCCGTTTTCGATGTTCGTTTGCTACGATCAAACCTTATGTAGCATAAGGTATTGTCACGGAAGTTTTTTGAAATTGATGTAGTGCCTGAGGTACTTGAACATTGGTCCCGGCACTCACATGGCGAGATCCAGCCTACCAAACAAAATGTCGGATCGAGAACGTTGGACTGTGGTGGACGCAGGCGATGGGGAGATCGCATTGCACAATGAGCAAACGGGACGCTTCCTGATGATAAACGACCATCATATTTGGGGTCATCCTGCTGCCGCGAGCCACTTGGAGGAAGAAGGAACCTTTAGGTTCTTTGGGGCACTGCAATCTCCAATAAAATTTTGGGTGTCTCCTAGGAAACTGGACAAGTAAGGCCACTTCCATCGAAGTTGGGTCAACTGCAGGTTCACTGTGGTCCCTTCACCGGTGAGCGGATGGTTTGGACTGTACAACAAGCTGGTCAGCCGGTTCGTGTCGGTTGGGGACCACCACGGCACGTATGTTAGTCCCAAAATTCAGCCCAAGGACTTCCCAGCAGGGTGGGCCCATCAGCAGTTCAAGTTTACAGTGGCAACGCCCTACTTGAAGCCAGGCACCAAAGTAGGCCTCTACTCGCATCACGGGACGTGGCTGCGCATGCACAACAACTTCATGGACACGGTGCATTACCCGGCACTTACCCCTGCGAACTTCCATGCCCACACTGCCACGCACACGTGGGAGACGTTCGAGGTGGTGGATGCCGGGAGTGGCGAGATTGCCCTCTGGAGCCGCTCGGCAGTATTGTACGTAAGCTTCATAACCTTTTTTGGGGTACTATATCCCCTATATATGATCCCACAGGTGAGCTGTTTTCCCCTTAAGAAACTGTACAAGTAAGGCCAGAAGTGGGCACGGTTCGTGGGAGTGACACCTGACGGCAAGACCCACTCGACGGAGCACAAGTACGCCCATCAGCTCCCAGCCGGGTGGACTTGGGAAAGGTTCGCCGTGGTGCCCCTCAATGGCCTCATTGGCTTGCACAACCCTCAAAACAACCGGTTCCTGCGTGCAACACCTCAGGGAGGTGCCGACGCCAGTGCACAAAAGTCGCCAGCTGACATTCCTGATGGTTGGACGTGGGAGCGATGGCAAGTGGTCGAGGTTCCCGGCAGCACTGAGCCTACCAGCCCGAAACTCCCAGGTGGCTGGACCTTCAGCGCCGCACGCTGAGCAATGCTGAGCAGCAGCTGTTTTCAACCTCATTTTCCACCCCAATTACAGGATGGGTGAACGAAGTCGTCCTGTCATTTCGGTCATGGTTTGAAACAGCGGCACAGCAACAAGGCATCCATGAAAAGGCGCCTCCATGAGAGTTCGTGTGTGCCTTGCGGGACCTTCTCCCGTCGACCTTTCCTTTGTGGTCAGGTGCTCGTCGTCAGCTTGCTCGTCGCCCTCTGCGAGCACACTTTGAGGCAGTGTTGGGGGTTTTGGGGCCCCTGAACTACCCTAAACCCTAAACTCCTAAACCCTTTAACCCTAAAGCCCTAAACCCTAAACTCCTAGTTTAGGGTTTATAAATTGGCTTATGGGTATGATAGTGCTATGATGTTATGAGTTTGATCTACGGTCTTCGGACCGGTGGCCCGATTTGGTTTTAGGGTAACTGGTCTTCTGGGCCGGGTCTTTATCCAGTGCAGGGAGTCTCAAGCTCTCAAGCTTCAATCTGCTCCTGGAGCTCACCGTAGTTTTGCTTCAACGGGTTTACTTCCAAGTGCTGGAGACTAAAGAGTCTGTCATGAACCTAAGCCTTAAACCCTAACCCTAGCTCCTCGTAGCCTCAATGGTCTGGAGTCTCTTTAAAGACAGCCACGGAGGGCATGCGCTTTGCCGCTTGTTGGCTCTGCATCAGAACTAGTGCTCTCTGGAGCCTGAAGGCTCCATGATGAACCCAAACCCCAACTTCCAAACCCTACACCCACACCATGAACCACCCTGGTTTAGTTTTTACAGTTTAGGGCTTAGGGTTTGGGGCTTAGGGTTTAGGATCTAGGACCGTGTAAACGGCACGTGCTGTTGAGATTCGGATCCCCCATTTTTGCCGACCCAAAAGCTTACTTTCATACAACACGGACCCCTGCGAGGATCCAACACGTAGATCCCTGAAAGGGTCGTATAGGATCCGAAATTAGACTGTCTCTGGAAAGCTATGGCCGCCTCGCTTGAAAGCACCCGTCGCGTCGTGCGGCTTGGCTCGGGAAACTTCTGAACGTCGCAGAAAAAATTCTGGAGTTGAGGTCTATATCTAGTTCAAGAGGTATCGTATGGTGTAGGGTGTAGGAGTGCAACTAGATACGTGCCTCAAGCAAAGCCATCGCGGCGATCATCTCTCGCCGTTGCAGTACTGGTGGTGCTGTCTCCAGCACAGCAGAAGCAGAACGAGTGCATAGTACAGGGACGGTTCCTTAATGATCATACTGCAATCTACCCCAGAACCCTGTCAGTACTGTTTGGGGTTCCCTCTTCTCATTGTAGTACTGGACTCCAACACCCGACTCTGCTTGTTAAGGCACTCAATAGGAGCAGAGGAGCCCTTATTGCAGAAGAAAGGGTTTGGCATATTTGGGGTGTAGGGTTTAGGCTTACGGTTTAGGGTTCCAGTACACCCAGGAAACTAAGGAACCGTTTTTAGGAAGATTTCGTTTAGGGCCTTCATACGAGTTACCGCTACTACCAACACCCTCCTCTCCAGGACGACGAGAATCCCGACCACGACAGCGAACTGACGACAAAGATAACAAGGACGACGACCACCCCGACAACAAGCAACAACCCTAAACCGGGAAAACCAACAGGAAACCCCTTTGCCTGAAAGGTTCCTTAACCCTGAGTGGTAGCGCCGAAAGTGGAAAGCCGAGCAATGGCGGATCTCACCGCATCATGAGGACAGCATCTTCGGCAATGTATCCCTGCATAGTGATACCCTTAAGACTTAGACTCAGACCCACTTCCTCCAGACCTTATAGATGCCTCATCATTACACAGCCATGTGGCCCGTATCAAGCTAAACAGCTTTTATGGCCCTGATCTAACAAGAGCCCTTCACAACAAGCATGTTTAAAAGCCCAAAAGAACCGATTGCGTTTTGGCGAGGCTGCTCCTCCGGGGGTGGTGCTGCCACACTGCCACGCTTGGCGGCGGCGACGCTGAGGATCTGGTCTTTCAGGGTTTGCTATACACTAAACCCCTAACCCCTAAACCCCTAACCCCTAACCCCTAAACCCATAAACCCTAANNTAAACCCCTAAACCCTAGACCCCCCACACTCCAGCCTTGAAGTCTGCCCGGACCTCCTTTCTCTCCATATGAGACCCCAGCAACTAACTCCCGAAGTTTTTGGTCAGATGTCAATCCAAAGCCATGCGAAGAGCTCTCATTGGATTGGAGGTTCGGTTTAGGGTTAATTAGGGCTTTAGGAGTTTAGGCTTTTGGGTTTAGGGTTTAGGCTTTTGGGTTTAGCAGTTTACATGAGATAGTGAAGCTGCAAGTTTTGTAAGCCAACCTGGTTAAAGTAAACTGCTTTGCGACGCACCCCTATGCCCCAACTCCCCTCCCCGGCGAGAAAAAAAGCAAACAACGCCCAGGCATCTCGCGGTGTCTGGGACCCTAAACCCTAAACCCCTAGACCCTAGACCCTAAACTTCCATACACGTAAGCATCCCTAGGTTTATGAGGCTTCAGTTGTATAAGGCTTTACGCGGGTGTTACAAGGGCTGTACAGTTTTTTAATATCAGGGTTGGATAAGGGTGTAGGTTAGGGTTCAGGCCAATATCCTAAGCTACCTATAAACCCTGCATGCTCAGTCCTAAAACATAGATTCCTTGACCTCAGACCCTACATCCAACTTGAATCCGAACCATGGCATCCAAGAGAATCCTCGACTCAATGGTAGACAAGAGGTGACAGAAAGTCTAGGGGCTAAGGGTTTGGAGGATTAAGGTTTCTTACATTTTTCCAAAGGAGTCATACAGCCAACCCTAAACCCAAACCCTAAACCCCTCAACCCTAAACCCTAAATCCAACGTGTACGGTGTGGGTTCAGGGCTTCCGCAGGTCCGGTTACTTCTGCGCCTCGAAGCTATCTGGACGGAAGCCCGTCTTTTCGAACCTTTTCTTTCCTTAGCTTATCTTAATAGGGTTTAGGGTTTAGGGTTATTAGGGTTTAGGGTTATTAGGGTTTAGGGTTTTTAGGGCTTAGGGTTTAGGTTTTAGGGTTTAGGATATTCTACTGTCTTCTATTGTCTTCTATTGTATTCTTGTCTACTCTCGTTTATTACTTTTCCTAAACCCTCAACCCTGAACCCTATCCAAAGCCCTGCAGCAGGCAGAGTCTCGTCAAGGAGGCTTTCCTATGCAGACGCCGTCTACACCTTGCTTTAACCTCAGTGCTTTCCAGCTTAAGGCCCTAGTTTGGAATGGTTCCGTTTTCGGATCTAGGGAATAGGGTTTAGGGTTTAGGGTTTCTGGGAGTGTCGGAAGCGCCTGGAGCCGGAAGAGTTCGAAGTTTCAGGTCTTCAGGGAGCAGTGTTTCTTTTCATCAGACTGGCATTTCTGGATTTTCGGGCTTGGAACCCTGGGCTCATGATGAGGTCTTATCACAGCATAGGGCGGTCAGGTAGGACCCTTACAAGGAGATCCCTGCGTCTTTGCTGACTAGGCTGTGCTTGGTTTATAGCATCCTTGTTGCTTTCTTGCAGTATGCATACTACAATATTGTTGACCATTCTAGAGGTGAGGACATGCTCTTTTGCCACGCCTAAACCCTAAACCCTGAACCCTAAAACCTGAACCTAAACTCTAAACCCTAAACCCCAAACCCTGAACCCTAAACCAATTAAGCATTCTCCATCCTTGATCCCTAACCACGAGTAAACTCTGGGCTTCAAATCGTCAGCCTGCAAAAGAACTAAGACTTGGACCCCTTGACCCCTTCATGCGGCTGTAGGGTTGAGGGTTTAAGGTTTAGGGTTTAGGGCGCTCTACCCAAGGGTTCTAAACAAATCCATAAACGACGATGACGACGACGACGACGACTACGACGATGACGACGACGACTACTACGACGATATGACTCTGATGACGACGACGAATACCCCTGCAACAATTAATCGCTTCCCCCTTTTATTGAACACCAGCAGCAAGAGCAAAACAAAAAGCAAGAGCGGGACTAAGAGCAAGAGAGCAAGAGCAGGAGCAAAAGCGGGAGCAACAGCAAGAGCAGAAGAAGGCGCAAGAGACGAGGCAGAAGCAGGAGCAAAAGCCAGCGTGGGAGCAAGAGCCAGAGCAGGAGCAAGAGAACGACCCCTCAAAAGTGGCAGTAGAGATAAAAATACCCCGTAATAAAATCAAAGTACTTTCGGAGTTTTCATTGGGGGGGGGGAGGGGCGGCCCCCCGCGTTGGATATTAGCGGGAAAAGATTACGACCACCACCACTATCATTACCGCCTGAGGCTCCGGCCCAGACTTCGCTGGTTCGTGGCCCGAGGCGCGCTGCACCTGGCACGAGCGTGAAAGGTTTGTCAGAGCTGCAGGGTTTTGGGTTTAGGGTTGAGGGTTTAGGATTTAGGTCTCATGAAGTGCTGGGCTCCGCGTGAGCTAGTGCTTCGGCTTCGTGTGCGGTTGCAGGTCATGGAGGGTCATGGAGGGCGAAGAGCTGCGGGGCTCGAGGGCGTCACAGCCGGGGGTACGCTTAGACGGCTGCTTCCTCAAGCAATGCAGCAGTTCCCTAAAAATAGTCTGGGTCAGCAAGTTTCGACCACTCTGACTACTCACGATGACAATTTGCGAACGGTGAGGAGAACTTATTGTACAATGAATCCCCCGCGGATGACAGGACAGAGCTGCACTGACACTTGGAATGAAGTATTGCCTGGAGCAACTGCTGCGGAACTTCAAGCACTGACACTGAACAGCTGCTGGAGCATACAATGCGTGCCTAAGTAAATGGACTGCAGATGTAAAACCAAGTGTTAAAACCTGTGCTACGACACTGCGAACCGCAAGAAGACAGAACACAGCTCTGCCTGCTGAACCTTACTCCATTGTCCTCCTGAAGCTCCAGAGACATACAAGGCAGGCCTCGAACAGGTGCTTGTGCTGCCTGCATGCACTTACAGTCTCTTTTCGAATTTCCACTCGTCTACTGCCCTTCACACTGCCAAACATCGCCAT